CAGGCTGTTTACAAAGCTGATATGGAGTGGATACGTGGATGTGGATGGATGCCACATGAGTCCGTAGAGGTGTTGAAGGTGAAGCATGCGCAGAAGATCCTGGCTGATGTAAGTTTGTACCTCACTAAGACTTAAAAACAAATAAAAAGTATGTGTATGCACACTGAATAGTTTCTTCCATTTCTTTCTTGTATAGAGAGGCTATCGGATCAAGTTGGATAAACAGCAATTCATGGTTCCAGCTGACAGAATTGACTTAGTCCGTGCCAGGAATGCTGCTGAAGTCCTGAATGAGGTGGGGATGATTGTCTGTCATCAAAATGCTGCTTGGTTTTGACTTTTTGTTCTTAATGTGAACCGTGTGGCAAAATAGTGCTAGTGGCAAATTCCAGGTAGCTGAATTTTGATCTCCCACGTTGCTCAGGCTAAATATCGTGAGGCCTGGCACCAGGACAAGACCAAGTACTCATTGGTGGACACACCATCTCTTGCCACAGCCAGAGAAGTGGCGAAGAATGTTCACCCGGTAAGACTGATGGCATATATGATGCATTTTCTGCATATTTTAACTCAGTAAATTTCAGCCTTGTGCAGTTCCTGCTTTATTATTAGCAAAATAAGTGATACATTATCTTTTGTAGAAACTGTACACCAAAGAATGGGATAAGGTCAAAGCTACAGGATACTTCATGCCTCCAGATGCTGTACCAATCAAGCAGTGCATCCAGACAACTAAAGTGCAAAGCAAAGTAAGTAGTAGGATAAAATTTAATCAGGTTTGATTTAACTGACAACTTAATAATGTGGTAAAAATAAGTTCTTTCTTTTTTTTTTGCCTGTCTTGTAGCATAAATACCTGGAGGGATACCGTAAGCAGGTCGGTCACCACATTGGGGCTCTCAGCGTCCAAGACGACCCTCTGCTCATGCTGGCTCTGAACTCAGCCAAGATCGCCAGCGATGCTCTGTACAAGAAGGACTTCAACAAGTCCAAGACCAAGTTCAACCTGCCAGTGGACATGCTGCAGTTTGAACTGGCTAAGAAATGCCAGATGCAGGTCAACGACGACAACTACAGAACTCGCCTGCACCAGTGGACGTGCATGCCAGACTCCAACGATGTTATCCAGGCTCGCAAAACCTATGATCTGCAAAGCGATGTAAAGCACATTTGTAACTATTAATCATATTGACATAATAATCTGACAGAAACGTCTGTCTTGACTTCCTAACATGCATCTTGCTTTCGATCTCTAGCACGTCTATAAGTCAGATCTGGAATGGCTCCGAGGCTGTGGCTGGGTAGCAGCTGACTCTGTTGAACATGTGAAGGTCAAGAAGGCCCAGGAGATTCTCAATGATGTATGTTTACTGCATTACATGACATTCAGCCTCTTTTTCAGTTGGTTTTTTTAATCACATGTTGTGTCATTGTGTCTTGCCTCACTGCTCTGTTTTATTTACAGAGACTTTACAAGAAGACTGCCCAAGAAGGTTTTGGAAGATTCACCCTGATTGTGGACCGGCCAGAGATAGTTTTGGCAAAGATTAATGCTGCCAACCTGAGTGATGTATGCAAAATCTAATATTTAAAATGACTCTCGATCGGAAAACCGGTGAGCAATGATCTGAAAAAAAGTTATTTTTTCTCTAATAGTTGAAGTACAAAGAGACTTTCAATGCAGAAAAGGGTCATTATATTGGCTCAGATGATACTCCTCAACTGGCCCATAGCAGGGAGGTGGCTAAGATCATCAGTGAGGTAACGTAAAAATAATAATCAAATCCTTTCTAGATTTCTAATTTATTTATTGTAAGTTCTGTGTTATATACATGTATTGTGCCAGGCTTTTCTTAAACTTTGCACATACCTTTTGTGGTTTTAGAAACTCTACAAATCAAACTGGGACGAGTCGAAGGCTTCAAGCTACCAGCTGAACCATGAATACATCCCACTGGTCATCTCCAAGAAGAGCAGGGACATTGCTAGTGATGTGAGTGTCTTATATTTCTTTAGAACTGTGATAAGATTAAATCTGATAACATGATATATTTTATTCTTGCACTACTGCAATTTTTATCATTCTAAACACCATTAGGTCAAGTACAAGGATACCCACGAAAAGGCCAAAGGTCACTACATGGCTGGAACCCTGGTGGACTTCCCTGAAGTGATGCGCTGTGGACACCAGGAAAAGAACAAGGCACTGGTGAGATACTACAAAATATAGTATAGTATAAAAAACTACACCACTACACAATGCACTGAGAAATAAGAAACCATTAGTAACAACAGGCACTCAAAGAGGCAGCTCACTCTCTGGACAGTATTTACTGTTAAGGAAACAATGTTGTGTTTTGTATCTAATAATTTGGTTTTCTTTGTTGTTTTTAAATATACTATAAGAACTTTGTAGTGCAGTAAAATACAAATAAAGGGAGCATGACAGATGTTGATGTTTTGACTGTACAAACATTATGTAGGAACAATATGAAGTTATTATATAATACTATGATACTCATAGTACTATATAATACATATTATATCATTAAAAGATATAACACATTTTGGGGACCACTGGATACAAATTTTAATGTAATATTCAGAATCCAGATACAACAGTATAATTTCCTAAATGTTGACAATACAAACAAAGGCAGCAGAATTTTTATGCAAAGTTTTAAAATAAAAGAGCTTCTACAAAAATACATGAA